TCGCTTTTTGTAGTTGTCTTTCCTTGCTTTTTTTACATTTTGTATCCCCTTTTTCTCTGCCATTTTTTGTCAGCTTTTTCTGTTGTTTTTTTAATTATACTTTCTTTCATCACGTTTTTTTCAATTTTTTGTCGCCTACGTCGTCTTTTTGGACGTTTTTTATCTTCTTGTCGTCTTTTTTTGTTATTTTTAGTTGTGTTTCTTTGTCATAATTGTTGCCGTTTTTAATTGTCTTCCTTGTGTTTTCCTTTTCCACCTTTTTCAAATTTATTTTTGTCGTCAGTTTTTTAGTTGCCTTCCTTTTTTTTCTTATTTTTTTGTTCTCTTTTTGTCTGTCGTGTTTTATTAGCTTTTTTCGCTTTTTTATTCATATTTTTCTCCTTTTGTTCGCCTGCTATTTTTGGTGCCGCCCCCATCTCTTTTTTATTGTCTTTCTTGTCTTGTTCCGTCTTTTTTACAATTATTACCTGTTCGTGTTGTCATTTTTTTATTATCTTTTTTATCATGCTTTACGATCATTTTTTGTCCTTTTTTGACGATTTTCTTAGTTTCCTTTAGGTCTGGTCTGCCTTTTCCACATTATTTGTCAGTTTGTTAATGTTGCTTTTTTATAATTTTTTTGTCGCCTTCACTTTGCTTGCCTTATTTTCTAATTTTTTGACGTTTTCTTACATTTCTTTGTCCCTTTTTTCTTTAATTTTTCCATCTTTTCTAAATTTATTTTTTGTCGTCTTGTTTTTGTCATTTTTGTTTTTGTCATTTTTTATCCTTCCTTTGTTGTCACTTTCGCTGTCCTTTTTTTAAATTGGCTTTTTTGTGCTTGTTGTCTTTCTTATTTTGTTGTTGCTTTTTTTAATAATTCTTATTGTGGCCTTTTTGTCATGGCTATTTTAAAAGTATTTCTTTTGCTTTTTTGGTATTACTTGCATTTTTGTCCCTTTTTTAACCACCTGTTATTTTTAGTTCTGTCTTTGTCGTGCCTTTAGTTATCTGTCTTGTATTTTTTCCACCTTTCTTTAAATTTCTTTTTCGTTTCCGATTTTGACGTTTTTATAGTTCTTTTTTCTGGCGTTTTTAGAGTCATTTTTGTGTTATTTTCATCGTTTTTTGTATTTCGTCTTTATAGTTTTTTTTTAATGGTATTTTTTGTCTTTTTTATTTTGCTCCATTTTTTCTATTTTTTATCGCCTTATTTTAGTTTTGGTCGAGTTCCATTGTCCTTTTTTTACTTACCTTATTCGTCGTCTTTTTTTGTTTCTTTTTATTGGCATTTTTTTTCACTCCCCTTTTATGTTAAATTTTTGTTTCCTTTCTTTATTGCTTTCTTTGTCGCCTTAATTTCTTACATTTATTATCGGCTTTTTTTATTACTTGCTAAAAAGTAAATGACATCACAAAATTTAACAAGTTTAACAATCTACTTCAGGGTCAAGGAAAGTTCTGTCCAAATATGTAGTTCGAGCTTTTCTTATGATTTTTAGACCTAATTGATTTCTAATTAATGAAGGACCTTAAGTACATCCAGTGACCTGTGAAATTTAAAAACGTTGCATATTTGCCACTTCTTATTAGTAAGTAGTTTCTTCGTAATTTTTTCTTCCTTGTTTTTGTTGCTTTTTTCATCACTTTTTTTAATTGCCGTTTTTTGCATTTTTTGACGCTTTTATTTTGCCCACTTTTGTGTCCCTTTTTTATCGCCTGTTTTATTTTTGGTTCTGTTTTTTGTCGTGTCTTCAGTTATCTGCCTTGTATTTTTTCTGCCTTTCTTTAAATTTCTTTTTCGTTTCTTATTTTTGGCATTTTTTAGTCGTTCTTCTTTTTGCGTTTTTATTGGCTCTTTTTAGAGCCTTCTTGTCATTGTTGGCGTTTTTTGTTACTTTTCTTGACGTCTTTTTTGCATTTTTCTTTATTTTTTTCTCATTTTTTTCGTCCACGTTTTTCCATCGTTTTTTGTCATTTTTTTGCAGTTGCTTTTTAAAATATAAATTTTGCCGTAATTTTATTTTTTGTCGTTTTTTTTGTCATTTTTATGTAGTTGTCTTTTTTTTGTCTGTTTCCGCATTTTCTAAGCTTTATTTTTCGTCTTATTTATGATCTTTTAATGTGTTGTTCTTTGGCACCATTTTTTAAACTGCCTTTTTTGTTGTCTTTTTGCCTTTTCTTTTAGTTGGCTTTTTCTCTGTCGTTCTTTCAGTTTGTTGTATGTTGCTTTTTTTAATGGTACTTTTTTGTCTGCTTTTTTATCACCCATTCTTTTTTCGTCTGTTTTAGTTTTGGTCGCGTTTCTTTGTCAACGCTTAGTTGTCTTTCTTGTTTCTTTTCCGACTTTTTTTTCTTGTCGTCTTTGGTTGTTGCTTTTTTAGTTGTCCTTCCTTGTTTTTTTGTCCTATTTTTCTCTATCGTTTTTTGTCAGCCTTTTCTGTTGCTTTTTTAATTGTACTTTTGGTGCTTTTTTTTTCTTTTTCTATCGCCTATGTCGTCTTTGTCGTTTTTTATCTTCTTGTCTTTTTTTAGTTATATTTTCTTTCATCACGTTTTTTTTTTAATTTTTTGTAGCCTATGTGGTCTTTTTGGGCGTTTTTTATCGTCTTGTATTTTTTTTTAGCATTTTTTGCCCCCCTTTTTGTTATTTTTTTATTTTTAGTTGTGTTTCTTTGTCATAATTGTTGTCGTTTTTTTAATTGTCTTCCTTGTGTTTTCCTTTTCCACCTTTTTCCAAATTTCTTTGTCGTCTGTTTTTCAATTGCTTTCCTTTGGTTTTTTTCTTATTTTTTTGTTCTCTTTTTGTCTGTCGTGTTTTATTAGCTTTTTTCGCTTTTTTATTCGTATTTTTTTTTATTTGTCGTCTTGTCAATTTTTTTATTGTCTTTTTTTGTCACCCTTTATGGTCTTTTTTGTCATTTTTGGACGATTTTCTTAGTTGCCTTTCTGTCTGTTTTGCTTTTTCTCTTCACATTATTTGTTAGTTTTTTAATGTTGTATTTTTTTGATATTTTTCTCACTTTGCTCGCTTTATTTATTTTTGTCATCATTTTTATTTTTGCTTACATTTCTTTGTTGGCTTTCTTGTATTTTCCCATTTTTTCTAAATTTCTTTTTTTTTCGTCTTGTTTTTGTCATTTTTTATCGTTCTTTTCGCTGTTCTTTTTTAAATGTTTTTTTTTGTTCTCGTGTTCATTTTTACTCACGTTTCTTTGTCGTTTTTTAGTTGTGTCCCTTTTTTTATAATTCTTTTTGTCGCCTTTTTGAAAAGTATTTTTGGTCTGATTTGCATGTTTGTCCCTTTTTTATCACCTGTTATTTTTGGTTCTGGGTCTTGGTCGTGTCTTTAGTTATGTGTCTTGTATTTTTTCCACCTTTCTTTAAATTTCTTTTTCGTTTCCCATTTTGACGTTTTTTTTCTGGCGTTTTTAAGTCTTTTTTGTGTGTCTGACGCTTTTTTTTATGGTATTTTTTGTCTCTTTTGTTTTGCTAATCATTTTATATTTTTTATGGCTTAGTTTTCGCTTTATTTTAGTTTTGGGTTCGTTCCTTTGTCGTTTTTTTACTTACCTTCCTCGTCGTTTTCTTTTGTTGCTTTTCGTTGCAGTTTTTTTTCACTCCGTTTTATGTCAAATTTTTGTCCCTTTTCTTTATTGCTTTTTTTGTCGCTTACATCTGTTTTTGTATAATTTATCTATTTGATTTGACTGTACTTCAGGGTCAAGGGAAGTTCTGTCAAAATAGTTCGAGCTTTTTTTTATTATTTAGACCTATTTCTGTTTGATGGCAGCAAGATCGTCGCGTCGTTTTGACGTAAAAGTGGGGCGTTTAGCGTTTACTCGACAATGTTTAAATTGTGGGAAGATTTTCTAATATCATTTTCAGGATATAAATAAATAAATTTAGGCATAATTAATATCATTTATAATGTTTAAATATGATGAGCATCAATATACGATAATTAAACCGAAACTCGTTTTCCTACAAACCCGATACTATTAAAAACAAATCAATTTGTTTAAACAATGTTAAATTATTCCGGAAAATGTGCATTTTCCCGGCCAAAATATGAAAAATAAATTTTGCAGTCTTTTTTTTTACGATGACGTCAATGTCACGTGAACTACCTGTATAAAGGTCACGTTTTGCGGTCCTTTGTGCTCAGTATTAATTTCTGTTTGATGGCGGGAAAACCGTCGCGTCATTTTGGCGTAAAAGTGGAGCGTTTTAGCGAATTTCAAGTTTATTATTAATACATACATATTAAGGAAAATTTGCTGTGTTAGTGCTGTGAACACGAACGAAAATGGATATTTTTCCGAAAAGGACCGAAAACAGGGTAAGTACGATTTCAGTTTTAATTTATTGAGTTCGGTGATTCGTTTACTCGACAATGTTTAAATTGTGGGAAGATTTTCGAAACGATTGAAATTGGTTGATCAAAGCTATACATTTTCACGAAATAAATAAATAAATTTTAAATATAATTAATGTAATTCATAATGTTTAAATATGATAATTAAACCGAAAACCATGTCCCGAAGAACACGAGGTTAGCAAAAAGAAATTAGTTTGTTTAAACATTGTTAAATTAACCCCGAAAATGTACAATTTCTGAGCTAAAATATGAAAAATAATTTTTCCAATCTCATCGTGACGTACGGTGAAGTCACTGTCAACTAACTTTTTATTTATATAGATTGATGAAGGACTTTGAAAATAATCCTTACATCCAGTAACCTGTGAAATTCAAAAACGTTGCATATTTGCCGCTTCTTAGAAATGCCAGACACTTTTAAAGTCATCATTAACGTGATTAATACGTCATGTGTCAGAATAATTATGACGTATTAACTGTCATTGCTATTATCGGTACACAGTGCGAAAGAGGCGGAATTATTCTAAAATTCTATAAAAGACTATTTGAAACTCTCCAGAAATGGTTGGATTTGGAACCAAGTCGTGATCACACTGGTACAATGTCGTTCGACCTATGGGAGTAATGAAAGTAGACCAAGTGTTGTTTATTTATTTATTACGTTACAATATAACATATAGTTTGCTATAGTAGTCATACACCATACGCTTTTAATTTAAATCATTAACAATAAAAAAGTACAATCTAACCTACATTGAAAAAAAACCGCATGCCACCACAAGAATATAAAAATCCCGTGACCACACGCTATGCGAAACATAACCAAAAAGTTCTCATTTTAAAATGCGCCATTAGAATTTGTGCCGGACCGCGTGTCCAGTATTGATGACGTCGCGTACAAAAGTCAACACAACGAAGGGACGAGGGATAGAAAGTGTTGCGATAATCTAAAAACCAGCGTTCTTAAAAAAACAGTTGCTACACTGCGCTTTTGTTGTGCCCATAATCGTAAACAATAGCGGTTGATTATAATCGAGACAATAAAATTTATTTTGTTCTTTTAATATTCATATTGTGACATTACTTATAAATATAAAAACACCCGCGCGCGCACGACAGGTCTGCCAACGCGGAAAATCGACATTCCCCGCCGCAGAGGTGTTGCGTATGATATAGTCTGTATAAAAGATGTTGTGCGCGGAACCAGCCTGCTGCCGGCCCCGGGTGCATACAAAAGGCGGGCCGGCAACAGGCTGCATCAGGAAAAGGCGACCAATAGATGAGCCCTTCCTCCGGCCGGTGGTGCGCCGGATCAGATTTTGTTTAAATTGGTCGCGGTTTAGTGAACGGTCCGCGCGCACGGCTCAGGTTCGCCCTGTCGCGACCACACTCGCACAACTACCACGCAATCCACATTATTAATAAATACTCGCAAGGGGCGGCGCGCCCGGGGGGCCCGGGCGCGCCGCGCCGACGGCTGGCCGTGCATAAACGAAAATCGTTAAATTAGTGAGATTTTGGCTTATAAAACGGTCTCTGTGTCAAGAGTTTAAACACACATCTCTGTATTCACATTCATCTGACAAGCAAAAGCTATTTATTATTATATTATCGTAAATTTCTTTTTTTTCCTATTTATGTAAGACATGATGATGTATCCTAAAAATGCAATACAACCAGGAACTCAATATGTACAAGAACGAAAAGGTGACTCAACGGAACGCGGTGACTTAATCACGTGATGATTTTTTTGGGTTTTTCTTTTTTAGTATGAAGTGACGAAATTAATTAATGGAACACTGCTTTCACAGGTTTTAATATTGAGGCAGTATCTCAACTTTGATTTTTACCGGCTGCCAGTTCTTACACGTTTTTGGTTAAACGTCACACGTGAAAAATCAATTTGGTACTTTGTGACGCTGACTTTGACGGCTCTGAGGTTGTGTGCGAAAATTTCAGGTTATGGCACATGATTTGTGTGAAAGTTTCTTTTTTTTTTTGGTAATACAGACTAGGACATATGCCATTATAAATCGACAAAATTATTGCATTTTTATATGGACAAATAGGCAGTTAGTAGTAAAAAATCTGTTTTTAACCGTGTTCTATCTCACTCGCACTCTCAACCCAAATTCGCTCATGTAAAAATGCAAAAACTTTTACTAAACATTGGTCATGTGTTAGTTTTGCACTTCTCTAACCAAAAGATTTGGAACTAATACTCTCCAAACATACGTACTGATTCCTCGATTGTTCAATCTCACCCACATCACATGAAAATAAAAGAACGAAAAAAAAAATAAAATAAAAAAAAGAGAACTAAAAATACTGTTTTATTAAATAATTTTCACATTAAACTTTTTTTTTTCTCTAAAATACTCGTAATAAATACATGTAGAAGCTGGACTTCTGACAAAGAAAATCATATATAACAAATAGTACCTTACAAATAAACAAGTAATCACAAACTACATATTTATATAAAAATGAAGACTAATAAGCAAGAACAAGAACGACTATAACAGATAAAATCCTATAATACAAAAATGGAAATAAAAAAGTGTTACTGTGACTTTAGTTTTAAATGCTTGCGGCATGGAAGATATACTTGGAAAAGAACGAAAAAGAATATTGTGATGCAGGTGAGATACGAATAATTACATTTAATTTTTGGCAACACTGTCTAGTTCCAAATGCGCAGGAAACTGTCCCAAGATCCTGTTCCTACCGCCATGCCGTTCTCTGTGACGCCTAGACAGCTTACTCGATTGTCGTGGCCCGCTAGGATACCTGAAAAACGACAAAAATTAAAACAAAAACGCAACAATGTACTTACTATTATTATTAAAAAGTCGCAGACAAAATTTAGTAACAAAGAAGTCTCAAAGTTTTCATGTTGTGACGTGGCTTTAGCCACAATTCAGTGTTCCGCTTCTTTCGGACTGTGTATTGATGACAGGTAAAATGTCACAATGACGTTAACGTTAATAACCTTAAAAATGTCTACTATCACTAAGAAGTGGCAAATCCGCTCCATTTTTAAATTTCATAGGTCACTAGATGCAAGAAACATTTATGAAAGTCCCGTATTAGTCATAAATCAATTATTAGTTTTTAATTCTTCAATATGAACGGTTTAATACAAATAATTTGTTTACTATGTCCTAAAATTAATTAAAAAAGGTCTACAATTGTAAAATTTCATTTTGTGGATTTTATGTTTTTATAAACCCTGAGTTTATATATAAATTAAAACAAAAACAGGTATGGATTATTAAATTACAGGTACAGAAATGTGTTGTGTATGTTTCAAGACCCGAAAAACGACAAAAAAAAGGCGGTCATAAAGTTAAAAAAAGAAAATACATAAATAAAAAAGATCAAACATAAGTCGAAAAAAAAGACAAAAAAAGGACGGAAACAAAAATAAAAATAATAAAAGTCTTATCTTAGCAAATGACATATTCTGTGAGAAAATAGGGGTGGGTGGGCGGGCTCTAGTACTTGCTCAGATAAGACTGATTTTGGCAGACGCCATATCTTCTGAAAAAACAGAGGGTGGGTGGGTGGGGCACGTCCTTGCTCAGATAAGACTTATTTTGGCCAATGCCATATCCTCTGAGAAAATAGAGGGCGGGTGGGCGGGGTTAGTACTTGCCAAGATGAAACTTATTTTGGCAATTAGTGACATATCCTCTGAGAAAATAGGGGGCGGGTGGGCGGGGCTAGCACTTGCCCCTATTGAACTTGTAAAAACTTGTTAAATTGCCAAATCTGATTGCATGTTTATTTTTTAACAACTCAGACATTATTTTTTTTTGAGACGCACTATATAAGCATATGTAAAAAAAATATTAATGCAGTTATAAATCACAAGTATAGGCTCATCATATTTTGCATATTTATTCAGCACTATTTTGAGGTGACGTCATCAATTTTATTAGGGGGGATTAGTAAATACATTTTGAACAAAAATTTATCATGCATAAGGATTTTTTTTAGTTATCATAAGATAACTTTAAAAGATTTCCAAGATTTCAAAGCATTCGGTTTTGTGGATTCAAAATTAAATTGCAAAATGTGGGACGACAGACAGACGGACAGACAAACACACAGACGGAAACGGGAGATCTGATTGTTTTGAAAATCTTCGCTTTCGAATTCAATTTTTATGAAAAATCCAAAAATTTCTATATTTCGATGGGCAATTGTACAAAAATAGTTGGAGTTAGCGAAAAACCAGGTCGAAAATAACTTTTGGATGTCGAAAACTACAAGAAAATGTCTTTGGGTAAATTTCGAAACTAGTAAAAAACGGTCGAAAATCATAAGAGGGAGGTTTTGAAAAATTTTAATTTTGAAAAAATCGCTTAAAAATCCGGAAAAAATTCTGGGATGTAGATTTCGACCTGGTGATTCGTAAAATATATCTTGTTTGATGTCCCGGGGCATGGTTTTAGAAATATTCGCCTTGGAATTAAATTTTAATGAAAAAACCAAACATTTCTTCTCGAAAAACGGTCGTAGTTATAGAAGAAACGGACTCGAAAGTGACTTCTGGATGCCGAAAACTACAAGAAAATGTCTTTTGGTAAATTTCGAAAATTGTCAAAAAACGGTCGAAAATGTATAATGGGGAGGTGTTGAGAAATTTCGATTTTGAAAAAATCGCCTAAAAATCCGGAAAAAATTCTGGGATGTAGATTTCGACCTGGTGATTCGTAAAATATATCTTGTTTGATGTCCCGGGGCATGGTTTTAGAAATATTCGCCTTGGAATTCAATTTTAATGAAAAAACCAAAAATTTCTTCTCGAAAAATGGTCGTAGTTATGGAAGAAACGGGCTCGAAAGTGACTTCTGGATGTCGAAAACTGCAAGAAAATGTCTTTCGGTAAATGTCGGAAATTGTCAAAAAACTGTCGAAAATGTATAATGGGGAGGTGTTGAGAAATTTTGATTTTGAAAAAATCGCCTAAAAATCCGGAAAAAATTCTGGGATGCAGATTTCGACCTGGTGATTCGTAAAATATATCTTGTTTGATGTCCCGGGGCATGGTTTTAGAAATATTCGCCTTGGAATTCAATTTTAATGAAACAACCAAAAATTTCTTCTCGAAAAATGGTCGTAGTTATAGAAGAAACGGGCTCGAAAGTAACTTCTGGATGTCGAAAACTGCAAAAAAATGTCTTTCGGTAAATTTCGAAAATTGCCAAAAAAACGGTCGAAAATGTATAATGGGGAGGTGTTGAGAAATTTTGATTTTGAAAAAATCGCCTAAAAATCCGGAAAAAATTCTGGGATGCAGATTTCGACCTGGTGATTCGTAAAATATATTTTGTTTGATGTCCCGGGGCATGGTTTTAGAAATTTTCGCCTTGGAATTCAATTTTAATGAAAAAACCAAAAATTTCTTCTCGAAAAATGGTCGTAGTTATAGAAGAAACGGGCTCGAAAGTAACTTCTGGATGTCGAAAACTGCAAGAAAATGTCTTTCGGTAAATTTCGAAAATTGTCAAAAAACGGTCGAAATTGTATAATGGGGAGGTGTTGAGAAATTTTGAATTTGAAAAAATCGCCTAAAAATCCGGAAAAAATTCTGGGATGTAGATTTCGACCTGGTGACTCGTAAAATATATCTTGTTTGATGTCCCGGGGCATGGTTTTAGAAATATTCGCCTTGGAATTCAATTTTAATGAAAAAACCAAAAATCTCTTCTCGAAAAATGGTCGTAGTTATGGAAGAAACGGGCTCGAAAGTAACTTCTGGATGTCGAAAACTGCAAGAAAATGTCTTTCGGTAAATTTCGAAAATTGTCAAAAAACGGTCGAAATTGTATAATGGGGAGGTGTTGAGAAATTTTGATTTTGAAAAAATCGCCTAAAAATCCGGAAAAAATTCTGGGATGTAGATTTCGACCTGGTGATTCGTAAAATATATCTTGTTTGATGTCCCGGGGCATGGTTTTAGAAATATTCGCCTTGGAATTCAATTTTAATGAAAAAACCAAAAATTTCTTCTCGAAAAATGGTCGTAGTTATAGAAGAAACGGGCTCGAAAGTAACTTCTGGATGTCGAAAACTGCAAGAAAATGTCTTTCGGTAAATTTCGAAAATTGTCAAAAAACGGTCGAAAATGTATAATGGGGAGGTGTTGAGAAATTTTGATTTTGAAAAAATCGCCAAAAAATCCGGAAAAAATTCTGGAATGTAGATTTCGTCCTGGTGATTCGTAAAATATACCTTGTTTGATGTCCCGGGGCATGGTTTTAGAAATATTCGCCTTGGAATTCAATTTTAATGAAAAAACCAAAAATTTCTTCTCGAAAAATGGTCGTAGTTATAGAAGAAACGGGCTCGAAAGTAACTTCTGGATGTCGAAAACTGCAAGAAAATGTCTTTCGGTAAATTTCGAAAATTGTCAAAAAACGGTCGAAAATGTATAACGGGGAGGTGTTGAGAAATTTTGATTTTGAAAAAATCGCCTAAAAATCCGGAAAAAATTCTGGGATGTAGATTTCGACCTGGTGATTCGTAAAATATATCTTGTTTGATGTCCCGGGGCATGGTTTTAGAAATATTCGCCTTGGAATTCAATTTTAATGAAAAAACCAAAAATTTCTTCTCGAAAAATGGTCGTAGTTATAGAAGAAACGGGCTCGAAAGTGACTTCTGGATGCCGAAAACTGCAAGAAAATGTCTTTCGGTAAATTTCGAAAATTGTCAAAAAACGGTCGAAAATGTATAACGGGGAGGTGTTGAGAAATTTTGATTTTGAAAAAGTCACCTAAAAATCTGCAAAAAATTCTGGAATGTAGATTTCGACGTACTGATTCGTAAAATATGGACTGTTTGTTATACCGGGCCATGGTTTTATAGAAATATTCGCCTTGGAATTCAATTTTAATGAAAAAACCAAAAATTTCTTCTCGAAAAATGGTCGTAGTTATAGAAGAAACGGGCTCGAAAGTAACTTCTGGATGTCGAAAACTGCAAGAAAATGTCTTTCGGTAAATTTCGAAAATTGTCAAAAAACGGTCGAAAATGTATAACGGGGAGGTGTTGAGAAATTTTGATTTTGAAAAAATCGCCTAAAAATCCGGAAAAAATTCTGGGATGTAGATTTCGACCTGGTGATTCGTAAAATATATCTTGTTTGATGTCCCGGGGCATGGTTTTAGAAATATTCGCCTTGGAATTCAATTTTAATGAAAAAACCAAAAATTTCTTCTCGAAAAATGGTCGTAGTTATAGAAGAAACGGGCTCGAAAGTGACTTCTGGATGCCGAAAACTGCAAGAAAATGTCTTTCGGTAAATTTCGAAAATTGTCAAAAAACGGTCGAAAATGTATAACGGGGAGGTGTTGAGAAATTTTGATTTTGAAAAAGTCACCTAAAAATCTGCAAAAAATTCTGGAATGTAGATTTCGACGTACTGATTCGTAAAATATGGACTGTTTGTTATACCGGGCCATGGTTTTATAGAAATATTCGCCTTGGAATTTAGTTTTTAATAAAAATCCAAAAATTTTCATTTTTCGTTGGCGATTCTAGATAGACGATAAAAAAACACAAAAAAAAAACGGCACGAAAACAGCAGCAGAAGAAAAAGAAACAAAAAGTGCTACAAATCAAGAGACGCCAAAAAAGCTACAAAACAAAAAGGTGATAAACAAGACGACAAAAAACCGGACAAAAAAGAGACGTTAAAAAAAGGGACAGGAAAAAAGGCAGAAGAAATGGCGATAAAAATGAAGGAGAAGGGCAGAAGGCTGATAAAAATGGAAGTAAAACAAATATGATAAAAAAGTGAAAACAAAGCGATAAAAGGGCTCAAAAATAAGGACTAAAATGGGGAACAGAAAATATTGATAGAAAAACGTAAAGGCGGCAAAAAGAGGATAAGAATTAGAAAAATTTACAAAAAAAGCCATTAAAAATGAGAAAAACGTGATCATATAGAGGGAAAAAGGACGATAAAAAAAGTCCGAAAACATAACAAGAAATGCGGACAAAAATGCGATAAGAATTTGAAAAAAGGGACAAGAAAACGGTAACAAAAAGGGCGGTATAAAAAAGGCGGAAAAATGAGACAAGAAATCACAAAACATTGAGAAAATTGGTGATAAAAGTGACAGAAAAGTAGGCAATAAATAAAGGATCAAAAATAACGACAAAAAAGTGAAAAAGACAATTTAAAAAAAAAAGTGCGACAAAAATGCTACAAAATAAAAAAAAAAGGGAAAACAAGGCGGCAAAGAAAGACGATACAAAGAAGATAAAAGAAAATTACAAAAAAGGGCCGATGAAAAGGGGACAAGATTTCGAAAAAAGTACCAAAAAAGGAAATAAAAATGGAGAAGGGCAAAAAGATGATATAAAAGTGACAGAAAAATACAAGTGACAAAAAAAGGGCGGAAAATGGTTATAAGAATACGAGAAAGTTAACAAAAAGAGTATCAAATAATTCGTCCGATGGACTCCATTACAATACTTCCTTCGTTTGCGCTCGGGAAGTGAAAAGGGAGATGATGTATGAAAAAAACAAAAAAAAAAAAAAAAAGTGAAAAAAGGCTACAGAAGGAGACGAACGACAAAAAAGTAATCACAAAAGCAAAAAAAAACACGATAGAAAAAAAGACAAGAAAATGCAATCAGAAAAACAACTAAAAAGATGATAAAAATGCGTCAAAAAAAGGAAAAACAAAAGTGAACAGAAAATGCAGGAAGTGAGACGAAAAAAAAAGATGAAAATAGATAACAAAGAAGCCGGAGGAAAGACGATAAAAGAACAGAAAAAAAAACAGCAGCAGAAGAAAAAGAAACAAAAAGTGCTACAAATCAAAAGACGCCAAAAAAGCTACAAAACAAAAAGGCGAAAACAAGGCGACAAAAAAAAAACGATAAAAAAAGGAACAGGAAAAAAAGGTAGAAGAAAAGGCGATAAAAATGAAGGAGAAGGGCAGAAGAGTGACAAAAAATGGGAGTAAAATATATATGACAAAAAGCGAAAACAAATTGATAAAAGGGGTCAAAAAGTTGAAAAAAAGGCCTAAAATGGGGAACAAAAAATTATTCATAGAAAAATGTAAAGGAGACAAAAAAATGACATAAACGTGATCATAAAGAGGGAAAAAGGACGATAGAAAAATTTAGAAAATGCAACACGAAAGGCGGACAAAAATGGGATAAGAATTCGAAAAAAAAAAAACACAAAAAACCGGCAACAAAAAGGGCGTTATAAAGAAATCGGAAAAGAGAAAAATGGTGATAAAAGTGACAGAAAAGTAGGTAATATAACCAAGGACCCAAAAATTAAGACAAAAAAGCGAAAATAAGGTGTATAAGACGACATGAATTCTGAAAAAATTGCAAAAAAGGTAAAAAAAAAAAACAATTTTAAGAAACGACAAAAAAAGGTGAAAATTAAATAAACGATGAAAAATGTGTAGTCACAGCATTTTGCGCATTTTAGATATCATTTATCGCATAATTTTGAGGTGAAGTCATCGACTTTTTAGTGGAATGAAACAAAACAAATTTAATTAGCGATTTATCATCTTTACGATAACCTTAAAAAAAATTCAAGATTTCACAGCAGCCGATTTTAGTTTTATACTTACTTGGTTGAGAGAAAAGAAAATTTGGAAGGTTCTAAAAAAAAAAAGGAAGCGGTTTCGGATCCATTTTTTCCATCAAAATAATTAACTAAATCTCAAGACACTATTGCGCATGCTCAAATCCAGGGGTTATAATTATTACGCATACACAGTTAAGAGAGAATTTTTAGTAAAAAGATGATTGATGACTGAAAAAAATAAACTCCATATATCTTTAGACTATAAGATTTTTTTTTGTATAGAAAATGGGTCTCATCTGAAATTTTTTGACCAAATCTGAGGTATCTGTGTTGAAGTTATACTCTTTAATACCGTAAAAATGTCTTCAGTTTTTGGATTTTTCATATTCACACAGATTTGACTAAGTTAGAATCATGAAATTAAGAGACTAAAATCTCGGTACTAGGTATTGTGTTAACCTCGTCCAGAATCACTGGAATCTTTTAAAAATTGGTCTCGCCTGAAATAGTGACTTTGTATGCTCTATTTTGGCATTTTACCCAACTTTAGGTTATTTTTTGCTTCTTTGCCACTCAAAGTACTGTCTCAAGCTTGAAAAATTTGCCAAATCAAGACCCAAATTTTGTCTGCTTCGACTTTAATTAACGTCGGGTTTCCGGGCGTGGTAGCGCTCGCACCTGCTCTCTCGGTCTTCATCGAATCCCACACGTTGCAGTTGAAGTCGTCGTAGCCGGCCAGCAGCAGCCGGCCCGACTTGCTGAACGCCACGCTCGTGATCCCGCAGATGATGTTGTCGTGGCTGTACATCGCCAGCTCCTGGTCGGCCCGGATGTCGAAGAGCCTGCACGTGGCGTCGTCGCTGCCCGTCGCGAACGCATAGCCGTTCGGAAAGAACGTGACGGCGTTGATGTCCGACTCGTGTCCGGGGAACGTCTGCTTGCACAGCCCCTCCCTGATGTCCCACAGCTTCGCCGAGGCGTCGCACGCGCCCGAGACGAACGTGCGCATGTCGGGCGACAGCGACAGCGACATAACGTCGCCGGTGTGGCCGAGGAACGACGTCACCTGCTGGCCGGTCTCGATGTCCCAGAGGGCGCAGCTCATGTCGCCCGAGCTCGTCACGATCTGGTTGTCGTCGAGGAAGCGGCAGCAGCTCAGGTAGCCGGTGTGGCCGGGCAGCTCCCTGCTCACGCGGACGTTGCCCTCGCGGGTCTTTAGGCTGTAGATGGAGCAGATGTTGTCCAGCCCGCCGCAGGCGACGTAGCTGCCGGAGGGGGCGTACGCGCACGTCATCACCCAGGAGGAGCGCAAGGGGATCGCGTGAACCTGCACATAAACAAAAATTATTACATATACGAAACGAAGGTGCAAATCGAGTGTCGTAAATAACAGAGACTATAGCAAACTACATGCAACGCAGAAAACATTTTCAATTTCGATTTATCAAAAATACCACGTGACTATTAATGTTCGTGATTTTTTGTCAGGTTTGCAACATGTTTAAAAATTTTATGATGGTATACCTGATTGTCAAATTGACATTTATGACATCGAGTTAGTAGCTGTCAACGTCTCAACAATCAACACGTTTATTGAGTCTGCTCATGTCAAAATTGACAACTGTGGACTGACACTTGCATGGCTGCCAATAATTCAGAATGGCCAACAAAGAATTGCTGCAATTATTAATAGTTACCGGGTAGCCAAGTTTTAACAGCAGAGACTAATGTATTATTTTGACAAAAAAAATTCTATGGAAAAATAAAAATTCACAAAAATTAGAAATCTTTAGAAAAATGTTGAAAAAAATTAAAATTTTGAAAAAAAAAAAAAAATTCTTTGGAAAAAATGAAATTCATAAACATACAAAATCTTGGAAAAATGTGGTATTGCCAATCTTGAATAACAATTTGAAGATCTTAAAAAAAACGTATAACAAATTTGACAAAAAAAGGAAAAAATCCACGGAAAAGTAAAATTCATAAAAATTCTAATTCAAAAAAAAAAAAAATTGCTGATTTTGAATTAAAATTTGAATATCTTAAAAAAATCATACAAATCATTTTGAAAATAAAAGGATTCTATGTTCTATGGAAAAGTGAAATTAATAAAAAATTAAAATGTTGGCAAAATGTTACGATGTCAACAACGATGCTAAGATTTAAAAAAAACTGCTGATTTGGAATAAAAATTTGAAGATCTTAAAAAAAGTGTTCTACATATTTTGAAAAAAAAAAAGAAAACATTTTATTAATAAAAATTCAAAATCTTCAGAAACATGTTGAAATGACAACAATCAAGCTGAGATTTAAAAAAACTGCTGATCGGGAATAATAATTAGAAGATCTTAAAAACGGCATACAACAATTTTTAAAAAAGATTTTATCGAAAAATAAAATTCATAAAATTTCAAAATCCTTATAAAAGTATTGGGAAGTCACATAACGAAGCTGAGATTTAAAAAAATTGCTGATCTGGAATAAAAATTTGAAGATCTTAAAAAAGGTACACAACAAATTTAAAAAAATAAAAAAGTTTTTATGAAAAAATTAAATTCATAGAATCAAAATCTTCAGAACAACGTTGAGATGACAACAACGAAGCTGAGATTTAAAAAAACTGTTGATCGGGAATAATAATTTGAAAATCTTAAAAAAAGCATACAACAAATTTTGAAAAAAGAAGATTTTATGGAATAATGAAATTCATAAAAATTCAAAATCCTTCGAAAAGTATTGGGAAGTCACATAACGAAGCTGAGATTTAAAAAAAAAACTGGTGATTTGTGATAAAAATTTGAACATCTTAAAAAAGAATTCAAAAAATGTTTTTAAAAATCATTCTACGGAAAAGTAAAGCTCATAAAAGTTCAAAATCTTCAGAAACATGTTGAGATGACAACAATGAAGCTGAGATTTAAAAAAACTGCTGATCTGGAATAAAAATTTGAAGATGTTAAAATAAAAAAGGCACACAACAAATTTAAAAAAATAAAAAGCTTTTTATGAAAACATTAAATTCATAGAATCAAAATTTTCAGAACAACGTCGAGATGACAACAACGAAGCTGAGATTTATTAAAAAAATTGGTGATTTGTAATAAAAATTTGAAGATCTTAAAAGTTCAAAATCTTCAGAAACATGTTGACATGACAACAATGAAGCTGATATTTAAAAAAACTGCTGATCTGGAATAAAACTTCTAAGATGTTAAAAAACGCACACAACAAATTTAAAAAAATAAAATGCTTTTTATGAAAAAATTTAATTCATACAATCAAAATGTTCAGAACAACGTCGAGATGACAACAACGAAGCTGAGATTTAAAAAAACTGCTGATCCGGAATAATAATTTGAAGATCTTAAAAAAGCATACAACAAAATTTTGAAAAAAGAATTCTGTAGAGAGTCAAAATTTTCAGGAAAATGTTGGGATGTCAATAACGAAACTAAAACTGGTGATTTTGAATAAAAATTTGAAGATCTTAAAAAAGGCGTAGAACAATTTTGAAAAATGAAGATTTTATGGAAAAGTGAAATTCATAAAAATTCAAAATATTTCGAAAAATATTGGAAAGTCAAATGACGAAGCTGAGATTTAAGAAAAAACTGGGGATTTGTAATAAAAATTTGAAGATCTTAAAAACGGAAATCTACAAATTGTTTTAAAAATTATTCTACAGAAAATTTAAATTAAAAAAAAATTAAAATTTTCAGAATAATGTTAAGATGACAGCGGCCCTGAGATTAAAAAAAACTGCTGATCTGGAACAAAAATTTGAAGATCTTAAAAAAAGGTATACAACAAATTTTGAAAAAAGCAATCTGTATAGAAAGGTCAAATTCATACAAATTCAAAATCTTCAGCAAAATGTTGGGATGTCAATAACGAAACTAAAATTGGTGATTTAGAATAAAAATTTGAAGATCTTAAAAAAAGGCCATACAACAGTTTTGAAAAATGAAGATTTTATGGGAAAAGTGAAATTCTAAAAATTCAAAATCTTTAGAAAAGTATTGGGAAGTCAAATAACGAAGCTGAGATTTAAGAAAAAACTGGTGATTTGTAATAAAAATTTGAAGATCATAAAAAAAGAATTCAACAAACTTTGTTAAGCATTATTCTACGGAAAATGTAATTTAAAAAAAAAAAATCAAAATTTTAAGAATAATGTTAAGATGGCAGCGGCCCTGAGATTAAAAACAAAAATGCTGATCTGGAACAAAAATTTGAAGATCTTAAAAAAAGGTATACAACAAATTTTGAAAAAAGCAATCTGTAGAAAGGTGAAATTCATACAAATTCAAAATCTTCAGCAAAATGTTGGGATGTCAATAATGAAACTAAAACTGGTGATTTTGAATAAAAATTTGAAGATCTTAAAAAAGGCATTCAACAAATTTTGTTAAAAATTATTCTATGGAAAAGTGAAATTCATAAAAGTGCAAAATCTTGAGAAAAATGTTGAGGTGACAAGAACGAAGCTGAGATTTAAAAAAATTGCTGATCTGGAGCAAAAGTTTGAAGATCTTAAAAAAGGCAATCAACAAATTTTGTTGAAAATTATTCTACGGAAAAGTGAGATTCATAACAATTCTAAATCTTCAGAAAAATTTGAAGATCTTGAAAAAAGGCATACAACAAATTTTGAAAAAAAAGGATTCTATAGAAAATTGAAATTCATAAAAGTTCAAATGTTCAGAAAAATGTTGAGATGACAACAACCAAGCTGATATTAAAAAAAAACTGCAGATGATCTGCAATAAAAATTTAAAGAACGTAAAAATGGCATACAAAAAATTTTGAAAAAAGGATTCTGTAGAAAGGTGAAATTCATTCAAATTCAAAATCTTCAGCAAAATGATGGGATGACAATAACGAAATTAAAGTGGTGATTTTTAACAAAAATTTGAAGATCTTAAAAAAAGCCATCCAACTAATTTTGACAAAAGGCTTCGGTAGAAAGGTGAAATTCATACAAATTCAAAATTTTCAGCAGAATGTTCGGATGTCAATAACGAAAATAAAACTAGCGACTTTGAATAAAAATTTGAAGATCTCAAAAAAGGCATACAATTTTGAAAAAAAAAATGGATTTTATGGAAAAGCGAAATTCATAAAAATTCAAAATCGTTAGAAAAATATTGGGATGCCAAATAACGAAGCTGAGATTTAAAAAAACTGGTGATTTGGAATAAAAATTTGAAGATCTTAAGAAAGGCATTCAACCAAATTTGTTAGAAATTATTCTACGGAAAAGTGAAATTCATAACAATTCTAAATCCTCAGAAAAATTTGAAGATCTTAAAAAAGGCATACAACAAATTTTGAAAAAAAAAAAAAGGATTCTATAGAAAATTGAAATTAATAAAAGTTCAAATGTTCAGAAAAATGTTGAGATGACAACAACCAAGTTGAGATTAAAAAAAAAAAAAAAACTGCTGATGATCTGCAATAAAAATCTGAAGATCTTTAAAAAAGGCATGCCATAAATTTTGAAAAAAGGATTCTGTAGAAAGGTGAAATTCATACAAATTCACAATTTTCAGCAAAATGATGGGATGTCAATAACGAAATTAAAGTGGTGATTTTGAACAAAAATTTGAAGATCTTAAAAAAAGGCATCCAACAAATTTTGTTAAAAATTATTCTATGAAACAGTGAAATTCATAAAAATTCAAAACCTTTAGATAAAATATTGGGATGCCAAATAACGAAGCTGAGATTTAAAAAAACTGGTGATTTGGAATAAAAATTTGAGGATTTTAAGAAAGGTATTCAACCAAATTTGTTAGAAATTATTCTACGGAAAAGTGAAATTCATAACAATTCTAAATCTTCAGAAAAATGTGAAGATCGTAAAAAAAGGCATACAACAAATTTTGAAAAAAGAATTCTGCAGAAAGGTAAAATTCATTCAAATTCAAAATCTTCAACAAAATGATGGGATGTCAATAACGAAATTAAAGTGGTAATTTTTAACAAAAATTTGAAGATCTTAAAAAAAGGCATCCAACAAATTTTGTTAAAAATGATTCTATGCAAAAGTGAAATTCATAAAAATTCAAAATCTTGACATGACAAGGCTGAGATTAAAAAAATTGATGATCTGGAATAAAAATTTGAAGATCTTATAAAAAGGCATACAACAAATTTTGAAAAAAGGGTTCTGTAGAAAGGTGAAATTCAAACAAATTCCAAATTTTCAGCAGAATGTTGGGATGTCAATTACGAAAATAAAACTAGCGACTTTGAATAAAAATTTGAAGATCTTAAAAAAGACATACAATTTAAAAAAAAAAATGGATTTTATGGAAAAGTGAAATTCATAAAAATTCAAAATCATTAGAAAAATATTGGGATGCCAAATAACGAAGCTGAGATTTAAAAAAACTGGTGATTTGGAATAAAAATTTGAAGATCTTCAACAAATTTTGTTAAAAATTATTCTACGGAAAAGTGAGATTCATAACAATTCTAAATCTTCAGAAAAATTTGAAGATCTTAAAAAAGGTATACAACAAATTTTGAAAAAAAGGATTCCATAGAAAATTGAAATTCATCAAAGTTCAAATGTTCAAAAAAATATTGAGATGACAACAACCAAGCTGATATTTAAAAAAAACTGCTGATGATCTGCAATAAAAATTTGAAGATTGTAAAAAAGGCATACAACAAATTTTGAAAAAAGGATTCTGAAGAAAGGTGAAATTTATACAAATTCAAAACCTTCATAAAATGTTGGGATCTCAAAAACAAAACTACTGATTTTGAATAAAAATTTGAAGATCTTAAAAAAGGTATACAATTTTGAAAAAAAAAAGATGTTACCGAAAAGTGAAATTCATAAAAATTCTAAATCTTTAGAAAAACATTGGGATGCCAAATAACGAAGCTGAGATTTAAAAAACTGGTGATTTGGAACAAAAATTTGATGATCCTAAAAAAAAGGCATACAACTAATTTTGACAAAAGGATTCTGTAGAAAGGTGAAATTCATACAAATTCTAAATCTTCAGCAAAATGTTGGGATGCCAATAACCAAATTAAAACTGGTCATTTTGAATACAAATTTGAAGATCTTAAAAGGCATACAACAAAAATTGTGAAAAATAAGGATTTTATGGAAAAGGAATTCATAAAAATTTAAAAATCATCAGAAAAATATTGGGATGCCAAATAATCAAACTGAAATTAAAAAAAACTGGTGATTTGGAACAAAAAAGTCATTCAACAAATTTTATATATAAAAAAAAAATTATGAAAAAGAAAAATTCTGAAACGTCTAGGAAACATGAAAGTAGCCGTTCGCTGGATGAACCCTATTACAATAAAATTATTAATCCACTATATTATTATTATTACACTTAATATAAAACCATAAACAACAACGTTTCGGTTATTTATCTACACAATCGCCAACAATCGACAAAAAGAGAAGACCTACTTTTTCATCTTTTAGACGCCTTGAAACGACAAGCAAACATTAAATTCAACGTCAAACGAACATTACAAAGCCTCCCTTGCTTACGCTCGAATGTAAAAAGAACTGTTATTGATCATTTTATCTTCCACACTAAAACGAACTGAAAGAGTGACACTCCAAGACCATGTGAATGGACGACAAAAATCCTATAGATAACTTGTTGAAAGTCAGAAATAACCTGCCAACTTTCCCGTTTCATTAATGAAAGCTATCGCATGTCAATGGCACAATACGCACATGATAATAATAATAAGCAACAACATTTAATAAACATAAATTGGAAAAATTAATAATCCCCACATTCCTCAGCGCCACCGTGGCACTGCTTTCACGTTCAGCAAGTAGCCTATTAAGACCGTCATCGTAAAAACCGCTTGCGTAATGACCAAACTATCGCTTAATTGACCGTAATAGGGAACGTCGTCACATAATCGAATCAGTCAAAGCAGTTCATACTTAAACAATGTTTCGTTACCTCGTTTCTACAAATTAGCGCGCTCCGACTCGACTCGACATTAATCTCAATTTATTTTCAAAACCGATTTCGAATTAGCGCATGTGACTTATGGACTGACGCCAGTGCCAATTTACAAACCGAGCATAATAGTACACACTATTAATAATGATTAGGCTACACGCACAACCGAACGTGCAAATGAACGTGGATTAAATAAAAAAACGGCCAAATCGGGCGCAATTAAAGTGAAATTTCAACACGTCGTAACCCATTTTGTAATTGACTGACTCCCACCATCATCAACTTAACGTAATACTGTTATCCAAACAATCAATTTGTGCTAATGATGATTTACACCCAAGTGCTCAGATGCGAATCACACTCAACACGTCCGTTTATCTCGTGAATGTCACGGGAGAGCTTTGTTAATTCTTGCATCGCGACATGTGTTAACTATTCTGAGTAAATAAAAAAAAATGCTCAGGGCTCCGCCCTGAGGCTTTTTCGGTTTGTCGACTTTAGCAGCGATCTCATACTTTACCTTATTGGTGGTGTGGGAATCCCAGACGATGAGTTTACCATCTTGGGACGCTGATACGAGGTTACGACTGTCGGAACCCCAGTGCATCGCATAGATTTTCGCCAAGTGACCCCTGAGAGTGCGCCTAGTTCGCATTTGCACCCTACCGATGGGCTCAAGGCTGGCAGTCGCTTGTACCAAAGACGTATCGCACGCCGCCTTACGGGCATCCTAGAAAAACAAACGGGTTAGTTCGACGATCGTTCTTTCCGTTGTATCCGCTGTTATCGACGCGTATTTGCGGGGCTGCACTGAAATACACCGATACTGTTAGCGAATTAATTAAATTGATAAATTCCGGTGAGTTGACTTTCAAAATTTATTGCATAAAAAATGAACAAGTCTGACATATGTTCGGGAACAATAATGCGGTGGGTGTGTGATAACCAGAAAAATTAAAGTCGGTGTGAATATGACTGTATCTATTCTATATTCGTCCGTTATTAAACAAATTCACAGCCACCAGTCCACTGGTTCGTCTTAAAATATTTGTCTTTTTATTTTGTTCAGTTTTCAGTGAAACATCCCATATGTTTTTATTTTGTTCTGGAAACAAGCTAGTGACGATTTTAATCCAGGGCTCTAAAAGAGTATTTATCGCAATCTTAAGTCAACAATGACTAGTATAATCATCAAAACGTGTTTAATTACCGATAAAAAACAAAGAAGTCGATAAAACTGTAGGGTTTATTGGTTTAAAAAAAATTGCGAATTTTTAGTTTGACGGGTGTATATGATGGTTTTAGGGCCGGACTTTTTGTACAAATATGCTCATGAGACCTAAAATTTTTCGATGAGACTAAAAAATTATTCTAATTTTCTTAGGGACTGAAAATTTTGAGTCCTCAGTATTTGCTAAGATAAAACTGATTTTGGCAAATCACATACTCTCTAAGAGAAGAGAGGGTGGGTGGGAGGGGCTAGTACCTGGTAAGATAAGAGTGACTAGGCCAAGGTTATGTGTGCAAAAAATTTATTTACAGCACATTATCAACGGGAATACATTACATCGGAAGAATGTCACGTAGACATTTGTTTGATTTGAATGAGTTTATCGCCCCAAAACAGATGACTAAAATTATTCATAAGCCTCCATTGAACAAAATACTCTGAATGCTATTATTATAATTCTTACCTTATCATTATTTTATTGTTATAAAGACGAGCGTATTCTCACATTTTCCAGAAAATGGGGTGGCTCGTTCTTAATTTGATCAATAATAAAAGTCCGTTCATATTTTGCACATTTGCGAAAGAATTTATTCGGCAAACTTTTGAGACGCCGTAATCAATTTTTTGGGCTTGATAAACAGATACATTTTCATTAAAAAGTTACCATGCTTACAATAACGTCAAAACGTCAAGATTTCAAAGTATCCAGTTTTGCAATTCTTGATTTAATCCATAAAATAAATTGACTCAGTCATTAACTTTTTTCACACACCCCGTATAAGCAAATCTAAAAAATATTTATGCAGTGATATATCACAATTATGGACTCATCATACTTTGCACAATGCACATTTAAGATAGCATTTTTTTGGAAAAATTTTGGGGTGGCGTGATCAATTTGTTAGGGGGGGATGAGCAAATATATTTTGATAAAAAATTTACCAAGCCTATGATAACTTTAAAGCATCTCCAAGATTTCAAAACATTTGGTTTTGTAGTTCCTGATTAAATCAATAAAATAAATTTACGCATTAATTAATTTTTTTGAGTCACCTTGTACATGCAAATCCAAAAAATATGAATGGAATGATGATAAATTACAAGTACTGTCTCATCATACTTACGCTCCGGAAGTAAAAAACAAAATATATGAAACTAAAGAATAACTGCGGGAACAGAAAGAAAAACAACCTACAAATAGACAGAAAAGGAATAAAACTAGAATTTGAAGAAGTAGAAATGTTTATGTACTTCGGGGTGTTGGTATATCCATGGGCTCCAAAAAAAATCACAAATTTCCATAGGTTACGTGGAAAAAAGCGACTTTTTATCGATTTAGTTTATAATCAATGAAATTATCTTTTTCAATTTTCTTAAGAGCTTTACAGACAACTAGAAGAATGAAACGGCTTACGTAAATTCTCACATTACCCAAAGGTACAGTATTTCTTTAATCGAAAAAATTCCGTCACGAAATGTACAATCTACAACAATGAATTTAAATGTCATTATTGCTTATACATATAATGGGTGTACAAAATCGAAAAGTAAAAAATGTGTTTAATTCTACATAAAAAAAAGAAATTTCGTAAGAGCTTTAAAAATAACTAAAGGCATACTCAAGTCCTTAATTTCCCCAAAAGTACAAATATTCTTGACTTAAAAGGCATGCTCATGAGACCTAAAATTTTTCGATGAAGTTAAAAAGTAGAGATGTACCGACTATAGTCGGCCGACTGTTCGGCTTTGCTAAAACCGGTTAAAATTGGTTTAATTGACCGAAAATTGTGTCATGTAGATAATTTTCCGCTAGTTACGATTCTGAAATCGTCGTCATGATATCTGGTCCAATAAACACGCATAGTGAATTCAAAATTTCCAAAAATTTTCCAAAAAATTGGTTAAAGTATTGTATAAACTGACCCTGAATTGTGTTATTCTTTATTTTTGTACTGAGTTACTACAAAAAATTAAATGTTAAAATTATCCAAACAAATTTAACACATTTTTTGGAAAACAAAGGAACTTTAGTTACTCCTTTTATTAAAATAAAACAAATTTTTAAGGTAGTCAGAGAAATAGGAAAAAAAAACACTGTTCCATTTATAAACCGGTTTTAGCAAAGCCGAACAGTCGGCCGACTATAGTCGGTACATCTCTACTAAAAAGTTATTCTATTTTTATTAGGAACTGAAAATTTTGAATCTCAATATTTGCTAAGATAAAATTGATTTTGGCAAATGACATACTCTCTAAGAGAAGAGAGGGTGGGGCTAGCAGCTGCTAAGATATGAGTGATTTTGGCAAATGAGATACCCTTTAAAAAAGGAGCGGGCGGGCGGGCGGGGCTAGTACTTTCTAAGATAAAACTGATTTTGGCAAATGTGACACCCTGTAAGAAAAGAGAGGGCGGGAGGGTGGGGTTAGTAGCTGCTAAGATAAGACTGATTTTGGCAAAAGAGATCCTTCTAAAAAAATAAAGGGTGGGTGGGCGGGGTTAGTACTTGCTAAGATAAAACTGATTTTGGCAGATGACATACCCCCTAAGAAAAGAGGAGGTGCGTGGGTGGGGCTAGTAGCTGCTAAGATAAAACTGGGGGGTCGAAACCACTTTCAAATCCTTTCCAAACAGCAGTACTTTTAAGATTATTTTAAAATTTTCAAAAAAAAAAACGGGGTCCCAAAATTAACTAAAAAAAGTCAGGTCAGAATTTTCCAAAAATAAGAGCACCAAAATTCCCCAAAATTGTTTTAAATAATTTACAAAACTTTTTCCATGGGCTCCCCCCCCAAAAAAAAACCACTGCGGCACTTAAGACTTTTAAAAGCTCGTGGTGGATGTTTTTCGATTAAAGAAATATTTTACCTTTGGGAAATTTGAGAATTTACGTAAGCCATTTCATTCTTCCAGTTATCTTTAAAACGCTGTAAGAAAATTGGAGAAGGTAATTTCAGTGATTACAACTAAATCGATAGAAAGCGGCTTTTTTCCACGTAACCTATGGAAATTGTATTTTTTTATTCAGAAAATACATAGGAGTAGATTTTGCTCTTCTACATATACCGGGGGAGCTTTTAGTGTTTCGAGTACCCATGGTGTATTATTTTGGGAGAATTTGGTGTTCTATTTTTGTAAATCTTGACCTGACTTGTTTATGAGTTAATTTTGGGAGCCGTTTTTTTTAAATATGAATTTTTTTTTTTTTTTGAAAATCTTGAGGTTCTAGGTATTTCTGTTCAGAAAACTTTTGAACGTGTTTTGGAACTTCCAGTGTCTTTTCTTATAATAATTTAATTAAATTTCCTACAGAATACGTAGTTTGCTAAAATCAGTCTTATCTTAGCAGGCACTAACCCCGCCCACCCGCCCTCTCTTTTTTACAGGTTATTTCATTTGCCAAAATAAGGCTTATCTTGACAGCTACTTGTCCCGCCCACCCACCCTCTCTTTTCTTAGGGGGTATTTCATCTGCCAAAATCTGTTTTATCTTAGCAAGTACTGACCACTAACTTTTATAAAAAATGCTCAAAATATAGAAATATTACGAGCTTACTTATTGAACATCTCTTGTGTTTAGTTGGTTATGCTTTAATGGATTTTTCTTTCTTTGTTTTTGTTTATAATTTATAAATTTCTTATTAAATGTTTTTTTTGGTTTATTTATTAATGAAAAATAACAACTTGATTTATTAATCATAATACACAACGATTAATGACTACTAATGATTATTGTCCTAAAAAGAAAAAATAAATAAATAAAAGGTGGATTTCACCATCGTTACTAAGAAATCAGAAAGTAAACCGGCGGAATTCACGCATTAGGTGTGAGCAGTGTTGCCAATTTTACTTTTGTAAAATTACGTTTATTTTGTAATCTACACCATACAGAACTTTTTTGTTATTTTTTTGGGACTCCCGAAACCACCGTACATCACGCACTGAAGAGTTAATCCGCCATTTTCCAGACATCCGGTATATCTACAAGAGCAAAATTTGATTATTTTCTGAATAAAAAAAATTACACACTTCCATAATAGGTTACGTGGAAAAAAGCGACTTTTTATTGATTTAGTTCTAATCACTGAAATTACCTTTTCCAATTTTCTTAAAGAGTTTTAAAGATAACTAGAAGAATGAAATGGCTTACGTAAATTCTCAAATTTCCCAAAGGTACAATATTTCTTTAATCGAAAAACATCCATCACGAAATCTACAATCTTTTTTAGACGAGTTTACACGGCATTGTTGCTTATGTAACGGGTGCACGAAATCCAAAAGTAAAAACTGTGTTTAATTCCAGATAAAAAACTACCCCCGCCCACCCGCCCTCTCGTTTCTAAGAATATCTCATCTGCCAAAATCTCTCTTATCTTAGCACGTACTAACCCCGCCCACCCACCCTCTCTTTTCTTAGGGGGTATGTCATCTGCCAAAATCAGTTTTATCTTGTCACGTATTGATGACTAATTTTTATAAAAAATGATCAAAATATTGAAAT